CAAGAAAGATGGTCTAATTGGCCCAGCCAGGAAGAGCCATCAGTCCCTAGTTCAGTCTGTCCACCATTGGCCAGGGGACAGGGTCATGCAATTCAAGCACGGTTGCCAGGTCTGGTTGTCAGGGAAAGGAGATGGTGAGCAGGGAAGACACATCCAAAATGCCTATTACATTTATCTTGGACTTATTATAATGCACATTCCTGGGCCTGAACCAGACACTTTACAAGCCTCCCTGGGGATTCTTAACGCACAGTCAAGTTTAAGAACTATCACATTTGGATCTTTCTAAAGCAGCATTGTACAAACTCTAGTTGTCATCACTTATTATTCATAGAATTATCATTCAAGTCTCTACATCCATGACCTTGGGGAGGAGAGAAATAGCATTGCTCTGTCCAACAAGTTACAGAGATGTGATGAAAAGCCAGAGCGAGGCCATCAGAATTGTCAGGAGTGCCATTACAACATAGAGGCACTAGAGGGCACCCTAGCCCACCACCAGGACCAAGGACGCAGCAGGAGGCAGAACTAACTCTTCAAAAACTTGGATTTGAAAGAAGCCACTTGCGATCCATCCCCTGCATGCACACCCATGTGTACACACACACACACACACACACACGGACACCATCCGAGGGTCAGGGGAGGGTCCTTATCAGGGGAGGGTCCTCCCCTCCCCTTTTGTCTTCAGCATGTCGAAATACCACTGTACAAATAATGCTATAGCTCTAATTGCCGTTTGGCCGCCTGACCGTGGGGAAGGCTCCACCCTTCTGGCCTCAGGATGCCCAGTGCAACTGCAGGGGTCAGGCTGAATGATTCCGAAGCTCTTCCCAGAGACCAGTTAGAAAGAGTTTGCTTTGTCCCATCTGGGTTACCATTCAGCCACTCCTGTGGGCTTCAGCCCTCCCACCAGCTGTGAGGTCCCATGATGGCAGGGGCCGAGCACGGCTCATCCCCGCCGCCCCGGGCTCTGCCTGACACAGAGGAACCCTGAACAAATGCTCCACGAGGGCAGTGGGGGCTGGCTGACGGGGGGCCCGCCTCCACTGATGCTGCAGGATCCTGGGAGCGCATCTCACCTCCTCGAGCCTGCCTCCTCGGCTGCAAGGTGGGCAAGGACACCCGTGTTGGGTGTGAGTCTCTGTCGACACGCTCAGTTTGCAGGAAATACTATCTTGTTTTTCTGTAACTGAACGTAATTTCTACTTTGAACTCCTATTCTGCCAGGTGGCAGAGATCACCTCAAGCCAACTGAGGGTCCCTTTGTCCTTTGTTGTGGGGCCGCATATCAGGTCCAGCAGGATTACATAGCACCAAGGCGCTGAGGAGAGGTACCCTGGTCTCCACTGACATCACTCTGTGCCCACCTGCGAGGCTGAAGACCCCACAGCATCAGTCATTCTCGTGCTGTCCTCAGTACCTGTCAGAAAGGCCCAATGGCCTAAACAAGAGGGGCGACACTTTCCTCCTTCTCCTATACAAGAATCTGAAGTAGACAGCCCTGGGTTAGCATGGCTGTCCTCTCTGCCAGGTCCCTCTGCCCCCTGCATCGGCCCTGGCTCCGTCTTCCAAGTCCACAGTCCTGCAGGCAGAGGAAGAAGGGGAGGAGAATAGAGCCGCCCTTCTTTAACGGTCATTCCCTGAGTGTGGCACAGGACACTCCCACTTGAAGCCCACTGGTCAGAACTTAGGCACCGCACCCTATACCTCTGCAAAGGGGCCTGGGAAGTGTAGTCTTTGTCCTTGGAAGGCAGCCTTCCGCTAAACCTAAGGGTTCCCTTACTGAGGAGAGAACGGACCTGGGGGCATAACTAACATAGTGCTCATGGCTGCAGGTCTCCACTGCTCTCAGAACTTCTCTCACCTTCTCCTGCCCAAGACCCCAGCTTAAGGATGGGCTGGGGCTCGGGGCAGGAAGCTGGGAGGGGTAGAAGTAGAAGATAGTCCCCTCCCCTTCCTTATCCCTCCCCCAAGCCACACACACAATAGAGGCTAGACATTTTTGTAAATATATTTTTATTGTAAAGTATTTCAAACCTACAGTCAAGAATAAAAAATACAATGAACATTTGCGTATCTGCCAGCCACCTGTTGCAAATCTTGCCATCTTAATATTTGCTTCAGATTTTAAGAAATGAAATATTACAGATTCAAGAGGACTTCTTCCTGAATCCCTTTTTGCCTACTTCTTGCCTCGGAGGAACCACATCCTGAATTCGGTGTTTATCAGTCCCTTATGTCTTTTGCTCTTAATACAAATTTAAGTATCATACATGTCCCAGAGTATCGTTTTGCAGGGTTTTGAACTCTATACCAATGGCTTCTTCCTCTATGATTCATTGTGCCATTTGCGTTTTCGCTGTCAGCCTTGTCTTTGAGATGTATCCACGAGGTCAGCCGCACCTCCGCCTCGGTCACGTATCGTGGGTCGTATATGTGGCTATGGCTGGGGTACGGGACTGCACCCCAGTGAGCTTATCTCTTCTTTTGATAGACAGGTTTTTATACTTGTTTGCTATTAAATGATGCTTCAGCGAACGTCTTTGCTCATGTTCCTCTGGGCACAGACACAAGAGTTTCTCTGTGCCGGTGGTTCTGAGAGCATGGTCACAGATCAGCAGCATCACCTGGAACCTGTTAGAAATGCAGAGTCTCAGGTCCCAGCTCAGATCTACTCTGCTGGACACTCGGACACTCGGGGTGGAACCCAGCGCTGTGTGTTGTAACAAGACCTGTAGGAGAGGCTGGTACAAGAGTTTGAGAAGCACTGCTCTAGGGTTTCGACCACAAGCCAAATTGCTATGTTCAGAAAAAGACACATCCTCAGATTTACTAGATGTTGCCGGATTTTTTCCCAGGGTTTATTTACACTCCTATCAGAAGGGAAAGTTTCCTCTCCTCCTTGCCAGCCCCTCTGTATTATTAGAATTTAACCTGTTTTTTCCCGTTGGGTGGGAGGTCTGGGCTCTGTTCGCTTCTCAGCTGATGTTCTCTCTCTGGCCCTGGGGATCCCTCTTACAACATCACGCTCTCTCTCTGCCCTCAGGTCCCTGCGGGGCTACAGCTTTGGAAACACACAAGCCTTTCCTCTGCTCTTCTGTGGCCGTTTCTCTTCCCAGGGGCATTAGCGAGGCCGCTGGATCAGTCAGGGTTCTCGGGTGTAAGTGACAATAATGGGAGTTATCAGCAGGATGTGGGGGGGCTCACAGGATCCAGGCAGCTGGAGATCAGGCTTGAAGAAATGGCAGGACCCATCCCAGAGCGGGAGGGAGGGGAGGCAGAAAAGGCCCCAGACTGGTCTGCACAGACCTCACTGTGACCCTCATCCCCACATAGCCCCTCACTCATTTTGTCCAACTCCCAGGACTCGGGGTCACAGGAATGAGTATCTGATTGGTCAGTGCCCATAACTGCCAACTTGAAGAAGTGCTGAACTTCCTTGGTTTCTGTTCTGGGGGGAGGGGGCACCAGGATTTGACCTTCTCCATGTCCTCACACAATGGGCAATTCCTCTAAAAGGCAGATGAGGCACCAATAGAAAGTTGGGGAACAGACCTGGAGAGTCGAGAATGTCCCATGCTGCGTGGCCGTGGGCTCAGGGGAGCCAAGGTATGTAACTGGCTTATTAAACAGTCTGACCTTGATTGGGTATAAACGTGGAACCATTTCACGTGTCCCCAGTTGCCCCTAAGAAGCTGCTCGGTCCTTCCCAACCCCCGGTCACTTTCTGACTCTCCCCAGCTCCTACCTCCAGTGGTTTTCCCTGCTGCCTCTGGCTGGGACACTTACCAGCAACCAGGCCGCTTGGGTGAGGCCGTGGCCTTAGCATCGAAGCCCGGCTACTTCTAACGGGCTCTTGCCGCTGAGAAGCCCCTCGTGCTTGCCATGAAGGATGCACGGGTTCTTTGGCTGCTGCCTCTCCTCCCAGCTCTGCCCGTCTCTCCCCTGCCCTTTTTTCTCTGCTCAGAGAGCCATGGGAAGGGGCAGATCTGCAGGGCTGCCACAGAAGTGAATGCCCAACCTGGGGCATGAGAAGCTGGCCACCCCTTGTTGCAGGCACCCCGTCTCTGTGAGGGGCACCCTGCCTCTCTTCTCCGTTGGTTTTGGGAGTTGGGAACAGAGGGAAAGCCACAGGCACCCACCCCCGCCCCAGGCAGACAACTCCGAATTCCCATGAGCCCCTCTCTCTAAGTGGTCGGCTTAATCAGGTGATGGTCAGGATAGCAGCAACCCCCTATGAGCCTTGGAGAGGCTCTCTTTCTAGAGTATTCTCTGCCTCCTTCTTCCCAGCTTTGGTTCCTGGTGGCCGACTCCGAGGCAACAAAAGTTTCCTTCCCTCAACTCACGACCCTTGATGATGCTGGGAGCGCTTGATGAGGGTGACAGGGAGGAAGGGAGTCTTGTTCAGAAACACAGCAGGGGGACAAGGGTCTCCCCCACCCCCACATGCATGCACACCCCCCACACCCTGAAAAAGACACACTATTTCCATGAAGGCTAAGTTTGCCTGTGAGTTATAGAAAACTCCAAATAACAGTGGTTTAAACGAAACAGACAGTGATTTCTCCATCCTGTAAGTCTACACGGGCAGCCCAGGGCTGCTATAGCGGTTCTACCTTCCTCGGGGACCTGGGCTCTTTTTTCTTATTTCTCTATCATTCTCAACACGTTTCCCACTTCATGATCCAAAGTAGCTGCCTGTGTTCCAGCCATCGTGTTCACATTCCACCCAACAGGAAGGATGAAGGGGATGACAAAGGGCGCGCCCCTGCCCTTTAAGGTAGCTTCTTAGAAGTTGCACACATTGCTTTAGTTATACCCCTTGGCCAGACTGGGGTCTCATGACCGTATCTAGTTGTCTGGGAAATGTAGTGGTTTGTCTGGGTGGCCATGTGTTCAGTTACTCTGCCCCATGAGACAGTCCGATCTGCTCACATATATGGTTTGACTATTTCTCTCCCCCTTTCCCCCACCTTCCACCCTGGTCTGGCTGGCAGTGGGCACTGGTCTGGGGGGCAACTGCACAGGCTGTGTCATCTGCTCGGAGGAAAACGGCTGCTCCACCTGCCAGCAGAGACTCTTCCTGTTCATCCGCCGGGAAGGTATCCGCCAGTACGGCAAGTGCGTGCACGACTGTCCCTCCGGCTACTTCGGCGTCCGCGGCCAGGAGGTCAACAGGTGCAAAAGTACGTGGCTCCTCCCTGATCCTGCGCTAGCGCTGGGCTCCTGAGACCTCTGGCCCACACCCCACCTCTCACCCCAACACAGCCACAGGGCAAGTGGTGTGTGCCTGAGCCCAGACCCTGAGATACTTGTTTGGTTTCAGGCTGGCTCAGAAGCCCTAAGCAAGTCAGTGCCCTGGCTGGTCTCAGCGCTAATAGAGCGGGAAAACTTCACCTCTATCTACCCTAGTTTGCTGTGTGGCTTCAGGCATGTTGCTCACCCTCTCTGGGCCTAACTCAAATGGAAAAAGGAGTCCTACTAACTCCTAACTCTAATTTTCATTGTGATCGGGGACAAATCATGACCACGTTTGAGCTTTGATGGAAATGCAGCAGGGGGCGCCTGGGTGGCTCAGTTGGTTAAGCGACTGCCTTCGGCTCAGGTCGTGATCCTGGAGTCCCTGGATGGAGTCCCGCATCGGGCTCCCTGCTCGGCAGGGAGTCTGCTTCTCCCTCTGGCCC